GAAGGAGAGGAAGACCTTTGATGAGATGGATCGATTCTGTGACTGGAGAGGTGGGAATAGGTGCATTTGAGATGGCTAGGTTGGCACAGGATAGAAGAATGTATAGAGCTCTTGTACATAGGGTCGCTATGAGTCGCAAGCGACTCGATGGCACATAACAACAACAACAAATTCTAGCTGGAGTGAAAGTTTACAAGAGAATATTAGTTTTCTATTCAATAATCTGTGCACATTTTGTTTCATTATATTGGTCTCAATCCCTTCAATGTAACAACACCCTGTCCCTTTCCTCCCTCAGTTCTCCATTACATTCATCCTTCTTTCTTGCTCTTTCCTGCTTCCTGAGATTTGTTTTAAGGCAAATGCTGCCCTTTTGGTCTTACATAGTTGACAATACATATATTGGCCTGGAATCCAGTTTGGAAGTCATCTGCAGCAACAAAAGCTTCTTTGCTGGTTCTGGTGAGGATTAGGGTGAAATGTTGACTCGCTAATGGGTGTGAAATTATGTGATTGTTTTTGGTCAAACACTCTTTTAAGTGGTATAGCACAGGTCTCTCCATTTGCTGTATAGAGGTAACTAGAGGTTGTTGTGATGCTGAACACTGCAACACTGATGTGTCAAATGTGATAATGGTTACTCATGGTGAACAGTGTTTGGTGGAGCGCTCCAATTAAAACAAGCTTGGAAGCAGGAGTGGCATCCACTTCCAAAATAGCTTGCCTCCGGAAACTCTATGAACATGGAGAAACTACGAAAGTTATGCAAGTGTTCACGTCTTTCGTTCTTCAGGTCACTATGAGTCATCTATGACTTGACAGCACTTAACAATAACTAATACCTATATCATACATCTAATATAAAGTATATATTATCTATATCATATGGTTGACTACTACGAGCACATTCCTTGTAGATGTTACTGTTCACTTTATAGGTCTGTCTATTTTATAGCTGAAAATTGATTCCCCAGGATTGAGTTCAGTTCCAAGCTTGTAGAGTATCTAAGGGCCCCAGTATCAGAGGTTTCACTAGTCTCTATAAGACCAGAAAGTCTGGTGTTTTTTTGTGGTTTTGGATTTTGTTCTACATCTTTGTTTTCTTTCTCTCTGTCCAGGATTTTCTGTGTGACCTTGTTCACAGTGGTAGATAATACTAGTGTGCACCATCTAGTGCTTCTGCTCTCCTAGCAGTGGAAGCCATAATTCAGGGGATCCAGCCATCCTTTAGACTGTTTATGTGAGCCCTCGAATTTCTTCACTCTTCTTTGCTCCAGATGAGAAGCAATCAATCATTGCATCTTGACCACTCCCAAGTTTTTAAGACCTCAATTACTACTCACCAAAGCAAAATGTAGAACGTCGTCTTTGAGAACTATATTGTGCCACTAGACTAATTGTCTACTGACTCTGCTTTTTAAGTCCCCAAACTCAGTGAGTCATTCTCTCAAGATGTTTGGTTATAGCTAAAACATGTCCAGACTTTTGCTCCCCATGTGCTCGACCACATTCTTGAATTATTTACTGCACATAAAAATTGTTGTTGCTGTTGTCAGGTCCCACCGAGTTAAGTATGACTCATAGCAACCCTATGAACAACAGATATGAACCCTGTCCTATCCTGTCCCATCCTCAACATCTCCAACACACTCAAGCCCATTGCTGTAGTCACTATGTCAACCTACTTGGTTGAAGGTCCTCCTCATGCAATTCTTCAGTTGGAGATCTCAACCTGACACCAGAACTACAGCCCAAAACCCCCCTCTGACACCTGCTTGGAAGTCTCATTTTTTCTTAGAAGGATCAAATCTAGTCATGGAGCAAATGAACTATGAGTGCCATGAACCTCCTCCAGAAAAATACACAGAAAATTATTTGCCAGCAACCACAGGGTTATGGATTCAAACAATAAAAGGTTCATCTTGAACACTGCTTTGAGTCTTTCAAGCAAGCAAAATGAGCAAAGCTCACCCACCAGAGTTGAAAAATTTATGGACAAGTGAGCCCGAAGGGAGGCCGGGTGCGCAGATCGGAGCTGCTTCGTCGCCACCAGAACTCGCCATCATGAGTAGCACCTTAGCCAAGATCGCGGAGATCGAAGCCGAGATGGCTCGAACTCAAAAGAACAAGGCCACAGCGCACCACCTAGGACTGCTAAGGGCTCGTCTTGCTAAACTTCGCAGAGAACTCATTACTCCCAAAGGTGGTGGTGGTGGTGGGCCAGGAGAAGGTTTTGATGTGGCCAAGACAGGTGATGCTCCGATTGGATTTGTGGGTTTTCCATCTGTGGGGAAGTCAACACTGCTTAGTAACCTGGCGGGAGTGTATTCTGAGGTGGCAGCCTATGAGTTCACTACTCTGACCACTGTACCCAGCGTCATCAGATACAAAGGTGACAAGATCCAGCTTCTGGATCTCCCAGGTATCATTGAAGGTGCTAAGGATGGCAAAGGTAGAGGCCGTCAAGTTATTGCAGTGGCCCGGACCTGTAACTTGATCCTGATTGTTCTGGATGTCCTAAAGCCTTTGGGGCATAAGAAGATCATTGAAAATGAACTGGAAGGCTTTGGCATTCGCTTGAACAGCAAAGCCCCCAACATTGGCTTTAAGAAGAAGGACAAAGGAGGCATTAACTTGACAGCCACT